ATCTCTCTCTCTCTCTCTCTCTCTCTCTCTCTCTCTCTCTCTCTCTCTCTCTCTCTCTCTCTCTCTCTCTCTCTCTCTCTCTGTGTGGCATTTCCCGCGTTTGTTCGATGTAATTGTTTCTGCCCACCACAGACGAGTTTTTTAAATCAGGAATGCTGACACGTGGCAGGACGCGATCGGGGCGATTGATGTTACTTGCTGACCACCATCCGCAGTCGGGACCGCGACTGCGCCTTCGCCCCCGGATGCTCCAGACGCACTTGGTTGACAGCTTCGTCGATTGATTAATTAGCAGCTGCGGTCTTGAATGAAGGATAAACCGATCCAATCGGTGCTTGATTGATTGGCTGATGAAGCAACTGCCTTTCCAGCCATGCAGAGGAAGCAATTCGCCATCATCGGTTTCGTGATTGATAGATCGATTGATAGATTGATTGATAGATTGATTGATAGATTGATTGATAGATTGATTGATTAATTGATTAACAGATTGATTGATTGATAGATTGATTGATTAATTGATTAACAGATTGATTGATTGATTAATTGATTGATTGATTGGGTGATTGCGTGATTGCGTGAGTGAGTGAGTGAGTGATTTCAGTGATTTGATTGATTGATGGATGGATGGATTGATCGAGTGAGTTGGTGAGGGACTGACTGATTTGATTGATTGATTGATTGATTGATTGATCGATTGACTAATTGAGTGATTGATTGATTGATTGATTGATTGATTGATTAAGGGTCGATCGATTCATTAAGGGTAAACTCACATCAGCACTTCCTCGACGTACCTGACCGCAGTTCCGGCCAAATGCAGTTGCATGTAGTTCGATGTGATTTGCTTTTCCCGATTCAAAGGGCAACCGACATAGGGTTTTTTTTTTTCAAGAACATAATAAACAAGCTTTTAATCCTTAATTGCGCCAATCAAGCCCATCACAGGATATATGCCTGCCGATTCCTTATCTCCTCCTCTTCCCCGCCCCCTCCCCCGCTCTCTCTCTCTCTCTCTCTCACACACACACACACACACTTACACACACACAGAGAGGCGCGCGCGCGCTCTCGCGGGCACGCATTACCCCAAGCGAACACGCAATAGATAGAGAGGAAGAGCGCGCGCCGCCCTCTCCTTTTCTCCAATCCTCCCACCCACCTCCTCGGCTTCTTTCGGCTCCCACCTTCCCTCCCTCTTCCTCTTCTCTCTCTCTCTCTCTCTCTCTCTCTCTCTCTCTCTCTC